GCTCAGTGACAATTGGTGCACAGGCTTGCGCAAATAAGTGATATGATCTACAGTGATGTGTCGTCAAGAAAAGATTTTAAATTTAAAAATCAATTAAATTTAGAGAGAAATATGATAGATACTACAAATTCAAAATAAATCTTTATTTCGAATCCCGCGGAGAATTTCAGGATTCAATAAAAATTGGAGTATTTCAAATATTTCTTGATATAATTTTTTTGTCATCTGTTATATGTGTCACACATGTCAAATTAAACATTAAAAAAAAATCACGCACAAAACATTTTCAAGTCTTCTTTTAATTAGTTACAAGCCAAAATTAGCACAAAGGTGATCAATGTCAATTTCGTGCTCTTCGATAAAAAAAAAAGTAACTATAGAAAATATCAAAGTAAACTAGAAAGATAAAAAAAACTGTTTAAATACGGAGAACGATCTAAAAGTATTATAGGACTGATATATGAATAATTACGAATAGTGTAAAGAAGTAGCTTACTTTACCGTGCACAGTTTCTCGGTTTCGCTCAATAAATGTGGATCAATTATTCGTCAATTATGTACTTCGGATAATCAACATTGCGTAGCACTTGTTTACGTTAATCAACCGCGCGTTATTTCGGTACGCGCGATAATTTTGTCATACAAACACACAACTTTTTCGTATGTTGTGTATGTGCAAGTTGATAAAAAGCTCAAGAGCATAATTAACACATGCGTATTGTTTTCTCAGGTAAATCCGCGACAAATTGCATTTATCTAATAGCTATTTAACTTTTTTTTCTGCTGCCTCACATAGACGTGCGCTCGATCTTTTCTAATGAGAGAATGGAGCGTCGGATGTCTGTTTAACGTAATTAAATCGGTGTGCTCTCTTAGAGATTCCCATTAATCTGACCAAGAGAGAGATAAGATTGCTAGCGTTATGATGGCATTGACGCTTTCGTACTCGCATGATAACTGTTTCTGAAAATTTAATCGCCTATTCCACGACGCCTATGCAATGCTCTCTCTATCTCTCTCCCTTCCTCCCACTCTCTTTCTCTCTCTTAAAAAAAAAAAATATATATATACTCCTAAATAAACGATGAAATCACTTTGATTAATTTCTGACGCAAATTCGTATCTCGTTATTTATGTTCTTTTCTCACAACCATTCATTTGACGTCACGTTACAATTAAAAAAATTCACAAAATCATCTAGAAGATTTATAATAGTGTTGTAACTTATATTTCTAAAAATATAAAATTTGATGTTTCATATCATTTTGAGTGAGGCAGCTTTGAAGGATTTCAAAATGAAAAATTACACGAATGTACAAAATGATAATTCTCAGAAAATATAAAAGAACTCCAAAGACTTATAAATATAAAAAAAATTTCCCTTTTTGAAAATGCAAGATTTAACGATCATAGAGTTTGAAAATTTGGCGAAATAGAGATCGGGAAATTTAATTTGAGAATTTAATGACTCAAGAATCTAGGAAACCCAAGAAAATCCAGAAATTTAAGGATCCAACCCTCCCCGGAAAGTTCCGCGCATGCAAGCACGTAGCTTGTGTTCGTGCGTATATTCATCTACTCCGTCCACCAAAGATAGAGTCTGACATCATACACACGGGCATCAGTCGGGTCGAACGAGTGATAAACATATGTACTCGCACACACGGTGTCCTCGTATGCGGAAGATTCCAGTTTATCACTTGCTACAACTGCCTTGATCGATCGATGCACCCACCGATGCCGCAGGGCGTGTGATTCTGCTCTTTCTCTTATTTCTCTTCATATCTGAACGATTGTGTTTGCTACGCGCTTCCACTGACATGCTGAGTGAACACAAATTTTTAGTGTTATAACTATAAAAATGTAACTAAACTGTAGTGCTGAAAATTTTGGCGCGTATCTTACTCGTTAATCTTTTTGCGATTTCTTAGACGAGAGAGCGAGATGACATTGACGACAAGCACGTAAACAGTTTGGTAACTGCAAACGTTCTCTCGAAAATAACATTCGCGTAGATCCAAAGATCTACAGACAAGAAAGACTTTCAAAGATATAAAGACACTGATATGAAGACCGAATATTTTGCCTTTGAAATTCGAAGACTTATTACGATCTCAAAAAAAGCGGCGATATATTCAACGATGAATAACGTTAATTAGGAATTGCTCCGACAGTCGTATCAGTTATCTCGAGTCATATTAATAAAAATGAAAAAATAAGCGAAACAGTGCCTTGGAACGGTTGATTTTTCCTCAATGAAACTATTGTAGTCAGATAAAACAGACTTGCGAAGCGTGCTCTACAAATCTTATCATTAAATCAACACATATTATATTCTTTATGACGTAAAACTATAAAAAAAAGATAAAACAATTTCAAGATATATGTTGTATAACTTTTATGTGTTTTTGATAAAAGTATAACTTTCTGAGTTTTCTCTCATTTTTTTTGTAGTCTCTTTGACGTATCTCACAAGCCTTCTCCGTCGAGATGCGATGCTCTCGTTAGTTCTCGAGAGAAAGTTTAATTGTTTCAATTGTGTTGATTGTTTATTTAGGTAATGATTATGCCAGCAAACGTAAAAGTTAAATGCCCTGATTTCTTGACTTTTTTCGAGTCTTGAGTGCGTATTGCCTCGAGGGTTTATTGTTTGCCGAGAATAATGACGCTTTACACGAGCTCGGATACGGCAGCTTTAATAGTAACACGTAACACCCGCTGCTGTTGCTGATAAAGCGCCTTTGTACATACTATATCGGTAGAGACGTCACGAAATCAGCCTGATAAAATATTCGTTCAAGTACGATATATAAGATAATATACGCGCAATATAATCTGTCACGCAATTGATAGCTTGATAGCGTCGAAGTAATATGCGATTTTCGAGAATGTCCTTTTCTCGATCTTTCGTTAAATGATTTAATTTAATTTCATATACCTAAGCAGAATTATAATTAAGTGTTGCTTTGATTCAATTGATGTGTCACTGTAATCGGCAGATTGAGATAATTAAAAAACGCTCCTAAGAAAACAGCGAATGTTATTTATGTACATATGCGCATGTATGCGCATATATGCGCATAATATATCTAGTTATTCAGACATACGTATTTACACAATAATGTTCAGGCAATGACGCTTTTTTCATGAGAGTTCGACAAAATTTTAAATAATTCAAAAAAAGTTTGTAATTTTTTTCTGCTAAAAAAAATGATAACGCCGAGAAGTTTTGATAAAAAGATTAAATAAAATTTTTATTAAATTTTATATTTGGTGATTTAATATTTTCTTTATGATACGCTCTTTAAAAATGTTATCAATTTTTTTTGTAAAAATGCAAGTCATTCTTCAAGGAAAATCATGATTCAATAATAGCAAGAACTGATTTATCTCGCTAAAATACAATTATTTCTTTGAATGATATGATTTTACATTTTTTTAGTCAAAATATGAAACATTTAATATTTTTAATTTCTAATATCTACTTTACGAAATTAATTTTAAATATTATAATATTTCAAGCTCTTTCACATTTTGAAAAAATTAATATTCAATTAAAATATTGTAAGCTTTTAATATTTTTGATAAAACTAAAAAATAGAAAAGTATAAGGATCTAAAAATATAAGTACTTTACACGCCAGCAAAATTTTAAGAATTCACATAAAAACTCACAATCAAATGAATAAAAACGCAATCAAATATTTAAAGGTTCGGGATCCGAAGAATACAAGGATACTAGCATTCGAAGATTTAAAAATTTTTTAAATAGTTAACATATAAAATTCTTAGAAATTGGATATTTTGTTAAATTAAAAAAATTGAGAATTATAAACTATAGGGTAACTCCGGCAAATACGCCGCACTGGGATTTACACCGTAGAAGTCAGAAAAAATAGAAGGAGGAGCTAATTTTCCCACAACTACTCTGTTATATGCCTTTATGTTATACTAATATTGTGTTATAATTTCAGTTTCTTACTGTCAATATTAATAAAATTATTGAATTGATTTGTCACTGTAATAAGTAGCGTCATCATAAATTATAATCTACATAAAATAATTACTGTAGAGTGCGTAAAAGACTTAGGTGGTTATTTCGTAATACATAAATGTAGAGGAATAATAAAGCATGTTGTACAGCAAAATACAAGTGCTTTGCTCTTGTATTCTTTGTTTAGCTTGTTGTCTTGTATATCCTATTTGTTTGGGATATACAGCATTTTTAGCAGACAGGATTTAAAAAAAAAGTATATAAAGTACTCAGAGTAGATTTAGTGTACTAAATGCAATAAACACATTACATGAAATATGTACCTCATGTAACATATGTAGGAAGAATATAATTATTATCTATTACTTCATATACATACTTATCATTCTTATTCCTTAATAAAATTTTGTAAACATATTTTATAAATCATTGTGTCATTTTATGTCTTATTTATAAGCATCATTTGTAAATTTGTTTATGAACTATATTCTCCTCCCTCTATGAATAGTCATATATCTCACTCCTATGGGATATACGGCAGAAATGCAGGGATTTCAAAAACCCTGTATTTTTTTTAACACGAAAAATAAGTATTTCGGATTATAATATTTTTTTCATAGTAGTAGATAGTACAAAATTTTTATTAATATAATTCATTTATCTTAAAAATAATACTTAATAAATTAAGTTTTTGTTAGGTGCGGCGTATACCGGAGTTACCCTAATGGTTGCGTTGAACAGAAAAAGCAGCTTTGCAATTTGCTATTGTAAGATTTTTTAATATAATTAGTTCATGTCCTTAGTTTCTCGTTAAATTTAAATGTATAAATCAATCATATTATAGAATCTTATAATAATAACAAAACTGTTTTTTTTCTGTTAAATGCAACTAATCGATGCAGATTTGATAAAAAAAACACGACTCACCATCAATGGGTCGAAATCGAAATCTCTTTAACCTCGGTAATGTCGCAGGAGAGCAAACTCTCGTTAGAACCGGCATCTTACTAATTTCTTCAGATGATGATCGGCCAGAAATTCCGTTCGAGGACGATTTCAGCTCCAAAACGGCTGCACGCTTCGGTGATCTCTCTGTGCCACTGGCCTCTGTGAAATGAAAAAAGAAACGTGAAGCCACGTATATGCATTCTTTGTTTAAGTTGACTGACTGCGTGCAATCTCCTGACGTGGACGATGGTGCGTCATCATTCGGTGTCATCGTGTGTGTCATTGCTCCAGTATGCGAATTGCAAAACTTTATGTGATATTACTTAGTGTGACAGCACTTTTTTTAATAACTATGTCGATATCGTTGCACAATCTCTATATTTTCACATGAGCAAACAAGCCGAATCTGTATACTTCCTGTATACATTTACATACCATCCACTATCAGATTCTTTCACTGAATAAAACATTATTTATATCTGAATTTTAAAAGCCATTGCGACATCTTTTGATTTTAATCAGAAGAATACTGTAAAATATTGTAACTTAGAGACACACTGTTTTCTATAAATAGATTATTAATATACAATAAAAATTTTTTGATGCTGCATAATTAAAATATATAAAAGTATCCAAAGAAATTTCAAAATTTTCAAAAAATTTCATCAATACTTTTTTTCTACAATTTTATAAATTGCATTGTTTTAAATAAAAATGTTATTCTTTTTAAATTTATCAAATTATTGTTTTAGACTATAACATAACAGTGCATAATACGTTGTAATTCTCAATTTTATTTCTTATCTATTTAAAGTTTATTTTTTTTTCTTAATTGTCTTTACTTTGAATCATACATTTTTACGATACATGTACTATGTAGTATACATAACCAATAAATGTCAACTATCAATACAAAACTCATCAGTGGCCTGAGATTGCAGCTCCGAGTCATATGATTAATGATCAAGAAAATCCAACATTTGCGAAATATCTTGGCCTTTCTTTTAAAATGGTGATCTTCTTTATGTGAAAAAATGCTTGCATCGACTAAAATAATAAAAGGTAAAATAATAAAAAATAAAAGGTTTTTAAATAACATTAATAAAAACATTAATAGAAAAAAATAGTGACTAAACAATAATCTATTCTTGATTTTCAATATGAGATGCAGCTATCAAATTTTTTTCTAAAAAAAGAGACAAACTAAATGTAATTTTTTTACAAATAATAAGAATAAATATATACTTTTAATAAAAATCCTATCAACTTCAATGAATTTCTATATAATAATAAAAGTTATATTTGTCGGTGTTAATTACAATATGACTTACAACTATATTAAATTTGAAACAAAAGAGACAAACTAAATGTAGTCTTTAATTATAAATGACAAAGAAATTTGTATTAATATAAAAATCTTATCAACTTCAATAAATTTCCATATAATAAATGTTTATCAATGTTAATTACAAAGTTGTATACAAGTATAGATCTTAATGGATTATCTATTAATTTAAAATAATCAATAATTAAATTTAAAAAACAATAAAGAAAATAAGTTAATAATCTTATTATACTAACAATGTCTTTATACAAATTATGTAAAAAAAAATTAGGCTTTTACTATCTAAATTATTTTTGGGAATTTAAAAAATGTTACACGCAATATTATAAGTAAAATTAATTAAAGTATTATAAGCAGTATTATAATTTAAATTAATTATTATAAGTAAAATTAAATTTGTTATTAATTTTAGTATTGTAATAATTAATAAACGAAATAAGTAATAAACGAAAAGAGAAGAAAGCAATAAAATGTATTTATACCACTTTGCAAGATTTATATTTTGTAAACAACTGCCCACTCTTCACACATTATTTTGATTTGCAAAAGTCAAACAATCACTAATTCAACCGGCACATAAAAAAAGTCGTTTACCCGAATTCTATTCACAATTGTGCCACAGAAACTTTTTTTTATTAACAAACAGCATCTTATAAAACCCAATTAGACTATTTGGATTATTAAAATAAAAAGATATATTAGGTTAAGTAAAAAGTCATCGCGTATTTTTTAGCTCAAAGTTGTATATACAATATCTTCGTCAATAATGAATGAAATTCAAATTTAAAAAAAGGGCTTTAAAGCTTGAAATCTCTACTTTTAAAAG